GTATAAGTTTGGAGCAAATTTATTTCGGTTTATGAGCAAATTTATTTAGGTTTCTTTCTTTAAGTTTCATCGAATTAAAAAAAAAGAAGAAAATTGGTTCATTGGACTCTGATAAAATATATTTTTTTACGTAATTATACCAATTTTGAATTTTGAAATTCTATTTTTTTTTTGACCTAGTTACTCAGGTTTTCACGCGCAATACCGATTGGTTTTGTTATTTTAATATATGTTATAAACATCTTAAAGATATGAGAAAGTTTTTATCGCGAAAGAGCTCCTATAGAAAAGGGTAATTATTCAAAGATTACCAACCTGTTCTTTATAACTTCGTAGCAAAGACCGGCCACTCTTGACCAGTCGTATCTGAGAAATCACTACTCGTATTTTAACTCCTTTTTAAGAATCTTTTCAATGCTTTTTAAACGTGGTTTTCTGAAATTAATTTAAACTAATAGTTCAAGACTTATTCAATTTTTTGATAAGATAAAAAATGTTTAATATTTAAAAAATTCCTGATGCAGTCCAAATAATACGATTTCAATTCTATAAATTGAGTTTACCAAAAAAATTTGGCAAACTTTTACATTGTTTAGTGTTTATTGTGCAAGATTTTAAAAAAATTGATTTTAGTTTTTTTTTACATTCTTGTTTTTCTCTAAGGCTTCCTCTATATTAACTGAGATATTATGCTTCCTTTTTATAGCTTCGTACAGTTTACACTGAGGTAATATCTGCTACACGGAAATGGCTGTTGGCCAATTTATCGCACATTAATGACACAGTTCGCATAAATGGGTGTATGAGTTAAGTTACTGTGTTCCAGCCGTAACCGCGTGATTGTCACTTGGTGTGATCTGTTCGATGTTGGTCAGAGCCACGGTTTCACTAATTGATTAATTTTTTTTAGTTTTTTTGTGACGTATTGCATATGTTTTATCACGCAATTTGGACTTTAGATTTTAGATTTGATTTCAAATTTCAAATCATAAGAAGAAAACTCGTTAATGTGAAGGGAGCCCGGACTGAAAGATGCCAAGTAGGCTAGTTGATCTGCTTCTTCATTTCCTTTTAATAGTAGTACCAGAATGCGATATGACAAACATAAAGTCGACGCTGTTAATTTTTTCTTTTAGGTTCGCTATTTCTAATTTGATCTGTAAGGCAATTGAATTATTGGTATATAAATGTTTGATAGTGTGAGGCGAGCCTAGTGGATCCGTCATTATGAGAGACGGGAACTGTTTCGACTGTTTTATATGAATAAGTTCTTGCATACAACTCTGGAATGTATAATGAAATAATGGGTTTTAATTTAAATTTTAAGGACATATTTGGTCGTGAGGATAACTGCACCAACACCGTCTGATGCTTTGGATGCGACAGTGTATATCTTATAGTAATTTTAATAAGTTTCCATTTTTCTTTTAAGAATGACTGCTTGATCAGGTCTCTTAGAGTCTCACTTTTTTTTTGTATATAATAAGATTGGTATTTATTTTGGGAATTGGAATTAACCACGGTGGAGCAGTAAAAAAAATATTGGGAAACCGTCAGGAAATTAAAAATGTAGATCATAAAGGTTTCTTTTAACTCTTTCATAAAATGGTGGATCTAATCTTGTTGCATACTTGGGATCCCTAGTCACGTCTGATAATAACGTTGTGGAGGAAGTGAAGAGGCGAATATTTATTGCCAATAAATGTTACCATGGCTTAATTAGGTAACTAAGATCAGATAACGTCGCAAGAAAAACAAAATCCCGAATATACAAAACCTTAATAAGACCGGTACTCACATATGGCTCAGAAACCTGGACACTTACTAAAAGAGAGAAAACGTTGTTAGCCATCTTCGAAAGAAAAACCTTGCGACACATGTATAAGGGCACAAAAGAAAACGGAATTTGGCGAAGAAGATACAACTTTGAACTATACAAAATATACCAGGATCCGGATATTATAACATTCATTAAAATAGGACGGCTGCGTTAAATAGTACATGTAGAAAGAATGGAAGCAGGCGAAATACCAAACAAACTACTGAGAACAAATAGCAAATGATATGACAACCTTAAAAATAAAAAACTGAAGGAAAAAAGCGTGAAACATATTAGAATGGAGAAGAATCCTGGAGCAGGCCAAGTCCCAAAAAGGGTTGTCAAGCCAGTGATGATGATGAATCTTGTTGCAGAGAAATTGTCTTGAAATCGATCTATGAACGTCTTGGTATAAGTAGGGTACTCTCCATTAACAGTTATTTTGAAAGCATATGAGAAACAAAGATATTTTCATCGTAAACTTAGGATTGATTAAGTAGTGTAAATTTTTAACTGGAGTTTTTCGAAACGCTCGCTCCATAACTAGTCTTTTCATTCCTATCTCTAAAACCATTTTTAGTATTAATGGTTTTAAATTGTGCACATTTCCTGAAGGAACGAAGCGATTTAAAAATTTTACAAAGGCTTTGTTGTAGGATGTCTTTAATCAATTCATTAAGGTACCTATTAATTTAACTTTCATGACGAAAAAACGACGAAAAAACTTTCAAATCGATTTCTTTAGAAAATGCTGTATCCTACCGACTTAAAGTAAGAGTACTTTTTAGTAATAGATAACCTGAAAATTTAGTAATCTAGTATGACGAAAGATGATACTATAGAAGGGCTATACTATAGAAGGGCTGCATAACTTAATGAACAGAATAACGGAAACAAGTAGAACATATGGACTGGATATAAACACCACCAAAACCAAGTTAAAGATCATCAGCAAGAAAAACACAACTGGAGCAAATCTGTATGTGAACCAAATGAGAATTGAACGTGTCTCACAATACAATTACTTGGGAACTATAATTAATGAGTCGTGGGACAATACCCAAGAGATTAAATGTCGCATCAGAAAGGCCAACAGTGCATTCTTGCTTATGAGTTCTGTGTTCAAGAGCAATGACCTACCCTGAAAACAAAAATAAGGCTCCTTAAATGTTACGTGTACTCAGTGCTTCTGTATGGAGTAGAAACGTGGACATTGAAGGCGGAAACTCTATTCAATAACGCCACCAATGAAGAAGTACTGTGGAGGATGAACACAACCGCGGATTTGGTCAACATCGTGAAGAGCTGTAAGCTAGAGTACTTGGGACATATAATGAGAAACCAAGGCAAATACGAGCTACTCCAATGCATTTTCAGGGTAAAATTGAAGGAAAAAAAGCCCCAGAATGAAGAAGAATATCCTGGCTGGCTAACCCGAGAGCATGGTATAGAAAGACCTCAACACAGCTATTTCGTATAGCAACCAACAAAGTCATCATTGCCAAAATGATCGTCAACGTTCGGAACGGACAGGCACCCTACGAAGAAGAAGTATGACGAATGCTAAAACGATAAATATAAAAAAAATGCGTTAAAATAACCGTTGACCTACATAAAAACGGGTACCTATGACCGGAACTAGAAATTCGCAATTGATATAATCGACTCGACTCTGAATGATAAATAATCGTAATAGTTTGCGTTTTTTAAACTAGAAGCGTTCTTGAGGTATTAAAAACTAAGGATGAGGTGAATTGGGTTAAATTGTCTTAAAATTATCACAGGAATCTCTGGTCTTCCTTAATTATATGCCTTAAATGGACACATGCATTCGATGGAAACTTTATGCGGTTTATCTGCTGTCTGTTTAAGAGAGTTTACTGTACATAGGAAATTATTTTATACAGCTAACAGCAATTACCTCTTATATAGCTTAGCGCTTTGCAATTAACGGCTATTACTGTTAGTCACATGGATGGACTAGGGCATTACAGGTTAAAGTATACTCCTAATTGATTTTTTGCAAACTGTATTTGTATTTTTGATTTGTTTGATATTTTTTCATGGATATCACTTATATATCTTTGATATAGTAGAAGTCCAGGATATGGCTGTTTTCTGCTTAAAGTTTTGTAATGAAAATTTTTGTGAATAAATTAAAACCTAAACTTGTTGGTTTATAAAAAACGACAATTTAAATAATATTTAAAAAATTGATTTTAAAGTAAAGGGAACTCAAAAAGCACTCCAAAACTTAAGGCATTTTTTTGTAATTCATGTTTTTTCTGCAAGTTCGATCTTATCATCAGAGATTCGAGATTATTATGGCATACTTTATTTTTTTTCTGCAACTGACCAAAAAAATTGGTTTGTTGTATACCTAAATATCCACGAGGATAGAATAGTTCTAATTCCCAACCCAGCGATTCCCAAATGCTTAAGTAAAATCGTTTTATAGTTTACTAGATAAAAATTTGATACCTATCTTTTGATCAGAGTGTGCTACGGACAAAAATCAAAAGGCGTTTTAAAGGTGAACAGAGCAGTTTTTGTTTGCAATTTCTGTATTTTGCGTAAACAAGGTCAGTCTTCAAAGAAGAGTGTTAAATAAAATAAACCTGTAGCTATTTTTGCCTCTTTTTAGCATTTCTCTTTAGATCAATAAAATTTATCACCTCCGGAATTTTTTTTCTGACAGAACGGTTCATTCTAAACTGTACCAGGAAAGCAACAAAGTGCTAATAAATATTTTTGTTTTAAATTATCTTTGCTACATTTTTTATTTAAAATATTTTTATCTACGGCATACAGATTTTTGGTCAATTGGATATTTTCCGCCCCTCTTCCTTAACATCATTAAAAATCTTTTTAAATTTCGGTACTTGTTCTTATTATGTACATAATAATATACATATAATAGATAATATATGTATTGTGTAATTTGTGATAATAGCAAATAATTTACTATTTTTGCTAGGAATAAGCCTCAATTTTAGTTGAAATTAAGTTTCTTTAACGTCTTGGTTTCCACTTTGAAAATGGTTCTATATCAAATTATGTCCGAAAATTATTTTTCTTTCAGATCATCTTAGCTCTTTATACTTTGCTTTGGTAATTGTTCATTAATATTGACTGTCATGCATCGGTTATCATAGATAGTTATTAAAAAAATAAACAAAAGTGTTATATTAAACAATATATTTAAAAATAACAAATCATATAATTATTTATTCATTGAATAAAATACCGTAACAACCTTGAGCAAGAGCAATATCAGCTTGAGCCCAGAAACGATGAAAAGTGAATCTTGGAGCTGGTCCACCATTCAAATGAGCTTCTACCTTTGACCAATTGGGGTCCCTCTTGTAGAAAGATCTGATGCTAAGGAAAGTAGCTCCACTTTGGATGGTATCTCCGTTGGGGTATCTACCGGTCCAACCAGGGGGTACATAAACGGGCTCGTTGAATTGATGATAAGTGTCTGCAACTTCCTCAACTGCTACACCCTTATCGGTTTGGTGCTTCCACCACATGATGTCCAAAATTTCCTTGGCAACTTCTTTAGCTTGAGCATGGTTAGCTTTAGCAGCGTAATAGGACAATGTTCTAGCAGTAGCTGCTCCAGTACCTACGTCACCGGAATATGCTTTCACAGACACGTGTACGTTGGGTGGAACGCCACTCCATTCAAGTTGTTCAGGAACTTGGTAACTTGTACCTGGAATAACCTTAATTTCTTTAAGGACCCAAGCAACCCATTTATCCAAGAGAGCTTTAGCTTGATTGTCTCCAGTAACATAGTAGTATTGAGCCAAACGATCAACAGACCAGGGTTGCATACCGTACCATCTGTTAGATGGAGGGTCGTGGTAAACTGGTTCCCAGTCGTAGAACATACCATGGAAAGTATTTTGTGTAAGCTCTCCAGATGGGGCATCATAGCGACCATTGATACTGTTGGTAACTCCACCAGCGAATGCACCTTCGGGTGTTTGTAACCATCCGTATAATTCTAATTGTCTTTGAAGAGAAGTTTGCCAGTCAGATACTGCGGTAGCTCCTCTGGGTCTAAGGTTAGGGTCGTTAGCCAAAGCATAAGCAGCCAATGGATTTTGGTAACCAAAGTGAGCTGTACCATCTCCAATACGCCATGCCCAACCGCCATTAGTATCGAGAGAACCTCCCCATGCAAAGTACCATCCCAACAAGTAGTGAGCGCTGTTTTTACCGGAACCAGCTGGACAACCTTGTGGAGAGACGCAGTTTCCAATTTGTTTAAAGTATTTGTCGAATAAAGAATAACGAATGTAATCACCCATTTTAGCTGCTTTAGCAAGAGTACCTTGGATTGTTCCAAGTTGTCCATGTTCTTGTGCCCATTGACCTGCCCAGAAAGCAGCTTGGATTGCACGAGCATCAGCATCAGGAGCATTGGTAAATTTCCATTGTTTGGCATAGCTGTTATCTTTTGTGAACAAGTCCAAGAAACCATTTTGACCACCAGATTGGAAGTTATCGCAAGTTGGTTGAGGAATAGTTCTCCATACGGATTCCATGGATCCTCTTTGGAAAGTGTTAATGTATGATGGTCCTTGAGCATTTGGTCCTTGTTGGCAGTTTCCAGCAGTGTTACCGAAACCATATACGTTATCAACATCAAGAAGCCAGTGCATAGCGTAGATATCACTAGTGCCGTAGGCAGCAACAAGCTCTTGGTGAAGAGGATCTTGACCTACTGATACACTAGTATCGATTTGAGATGGGTATTGGCTAGGCTGATCTTCCTCAGGAATAAAAGTGGCTGGATGGCCAGGATTATAGAAACTGTTTGTAGGCTGACTACCAGTTGGGGGAATAATGTATTTTTCCAAAGTATCCCAAGCTTGGTTAAATCCAGAGAAGTCACCACTAATTTTACCATGTAAAGCTTCCAACCTAAAACAAATAAAAATAATTAAATAAAATTACTACTACTATTTTTAAATATAGAAAATTTAATGGGTAAATACAATAAGCTAGCTTACCATACGTAGTAACTGAAGGCTTCGGATGTAGTTTCGTGTCCGTGATCTGGAGCTTCTACAATAAGGGTTTCAACTGAGTGGTATGGAACACCCTCTCTGGAGAAGTATCCACTTCCTGGGTTCTTCATTTTTTGGTATTGTATGTTAAAACGATCGGTATATACACCGGCGAAGGCGGTGTGGGCCACAGCCGCCAACAATATAGCTATTGTCAACTTCATTCTGTAACAACCAAATTATTAATTAGTTTATGTAAGGTTATTTTAAAAGACTGTTAAATACTTTTTTTTTAAAGGACACTTATTGGGTTTTAAGAAATACTTATTGGAATTAGTCTCGGGAGATATTTTAACCATTTCAATATGTACTTAATTGTTTGAAATTGTTTAGCTAACTCTAAGAAGCAACTTGAAAGAAAATGACTAGTCTAAAAATACTTAAGAATAAAAGTAATTAGAGTAAACAAAATTGTGTTTTAATCAAACAGTATTATCCTTATATTAGAATGATAGAAATGCAAACCTTTAAAAATTAAATTAAACATAAGTCAACAGTATCTTTTATCTCTTCTTCTTCTTCTGGTTCCTATCCGTTTCGGATGTTGGAAATCATATTGGCAATCATAACCTTGCTCGCTGTGGCTCGAAACAGCTCCGTTGAGGTTTTCTTAAACCATGTTCTTAAATTCCGCAGCCATGATATTCTCCTTCTACCGGGTCCTCGCTTACCTTTGACTTTACCTTGCAATATAGACTGTAGCAAGGAGTAACGGTGCTGATTTCTCATAACGTGTCCCAGATATTGCAATTTTATGCGTTTGATCGTAAACACAATCTCTGGTTCCTTCTTTATTTTTCCTAGAACTTCCTTGTTCGTGATCCTTGCTGTCCATGATATTCTCAGCATTCTTCTATAAAGCCACATCTCAAATGCTTCAAGTTTTTATCTCTGCTGTTATGTAATATCTCTTGGCAGATTATAAAATATGATGGAATAACCTTATAAGAAACCTCTTAACGATTAGAAAAGTTTGCCGATATTTTAAGCATTAATCTAAAGTTATTTTCTTGTACCATCTTGATACTATTAAGTATTTTTACTGTAAATTAACCAACATTTTAATTTAAAACCCGATTATTTTATCGTTTCGATTCCTACTTCGTGAATTGTTTGCATTTAGCATACTTATTTTATTTTAAAGTTAATTGTGGCTTATTCAGTACCAGGAAAAATAGTAAATATATATTTTGAACTTCACAAATAGAACAAATTAGAATTCATCAAGAATCCTAACACCTCTCTTTAAAAAGGGGACATATATTACCCGGAAAATTACAAAAGAATTACTTTATTAAACACAACACTAAAATTAACACACAAAGTGATAACAAACTGAATGACATTAACATAACAGAAGAACGACAAGGTTTTAGGTAGGGAAGATCATGCACCAACGCTATATTTATAATGAGGCAAGTGCAAGAGAAATCATTAGCATACAACAAACCGGCATTGGCATATCTATGTTTCGTGAACCTTAAGAAGACATTTGACTGGGTGAACTTAACGGACGTTATCCACTTATCGTATGCAAGAGAGTTACCTTTAGGAATAATCAAAACGATTGAAAATATCTACCAAAACAACACAATAAAAGTAAAAGAAGAAGAAGAAATAACTGACCCTATTGAAGCAGGAAATGGGAGAATACAGAAAGATTTCCTTAGTCTTCTATTATTCAAACTGTTTATGGATGAAATAATAAAAAAAAGAACTAAAAAAGGATACCAAATGGGTATCCGTTTGTCTTTAAATCGTTTATTTTAAAAAAATTAACGCCACTACAAAATTAGGAAGTTTATAGTTTTAAAACTTAAAAATTGTACTAAAATAAATTACAATGAGGAATTTATATCAAAGAATTTGTAAAAAAGTAAAACAAAATTGTGAAAGTAAAAAGTAAAATCAAAAATTATTTTATACTCATAAGATGAGGCAATTTGCAAGAAACAATTGGCTGCTCATAATGTTTAAATCGAAAATATTTGGAAAAAATTTGGAAAACAATTGGAAGCACATTAAAAAATTTTAAAAATTCTTTAAAAATACAAGTTCATGTAGAGTTTACTACAAGAAGACCACTTGCAAGCATAAAAATATTTAAAATACTATCATCAAAATCCAAAGTGCATCAATATTATGAGGACAAGTTGACGAAAATGTTAATATTTATTATAAATAATATTCTTACTTACCTGTCTCTGCTGTATACACAGGACAGTGAAGTGAATTTTTTTTGGATTGTTTTTATACAATTTTTTTATCGCTAAAGTGTGATCGGCATGTACTTAACATACAATAAATCTTCATTAAAGAGCCAGCATTTGGTTATCTTATTTAAAAAGTTAATTTGCATTGTTTATTATGCCACTTTTATTAAAAAATTTGACATATTTGTAAATGCTGTGTTTACCTCGAGAAGGTTTTTAAATAATTTAAAAATATAAGAAGCTTGTGCTATGTTAAATACTGGGAGGAATAATAATACTATAGCTACTCCTCCTTCTTCTTCCTCTTCTTCGTGTGCCTTGCTCGATTATCGTGCGTTGACTAATATTGTTGACAACAGCTGGGAAAAGGGATGCAAAGGATTTGTTAAACCATTCCTTCAGGTTTTTAAGTCAACGTCTATCTTGCATCGTAACATTTAATGAAGTATAGTACTTCCCTCTTTGTAACGCATATCATGGCCAACATATCCTAGATTCCAGTTTTTAAATGTTCTTTTCTCATTAGCTGCATAACAACAACTCTTGTAACTGTTTATAATTTGTGATTGTAGGGGATTGAAAGGGGTGATTGAACAATTACTGGGATTGGAGATAGGAAGATAAAGTAAGCAAATAAATTGCGTTTGCGAACGGCTACTCGTGCTTTGGTTGGAGAGCTGAGTCGTGGATAATGATTCCTTCATTTGGGAGACTGGGAGACACTAACTACAAAAACAAAATTAAAAAATATTTTAGAGATGCCCTACAACACTACACAAGAAGATTTCTAAACTATTTAAAATTAACGCTGTTTAAAAAAAATGCTTGAACTTGCTCATACAAAAAGTTTTTTTGGCTCCTTGGCAACACGCATATGGCTAGTAACCCTTCCAGTTGGTTAAGTAAAAAACAGAGTATAGTGCAAGTGATGGTAGGTTTTTTTCTTCCTAGGGTGACTGTTTCATTTTAGAAGAGGCCAATAGATTTAAGTACCTGGGATGTTGGATCGATCGCAGCCTAAATCCTGATCTAGAAATAAGATCGAGAATAAAACAGGCCAGAAAATCTTTCGAAAAAATAAAAAAACTGCTTTGTGATTCTTGAATAAAACTCGAAATTCGACTACGTTTATCAAAATGCTACGTCTGCTCGACTCTTCTATATGCAGTTGAAACGTGGACCCTTAAAACATCAACCGTAAATAAATTGGAGGCCTTTGAAATGTGGATCTACCGGAGAATACTCAAAATTTCATGGACATCGCATACTTCAAACGAAGAAGTGCTGCATAGAATAGGCAAGGAAAGAGAACTTTTTAACACAGTAAAAGTTAGAAAAACATCATACCTAGGCCACATACTGAGAAATAAGTACCAATATGCTCAACTTATAGTGAAAGGAAAAAGCGAGGAAAAGAGAGGCATTAAGAAGGAAAAGACTATCGTGGCTCAGAAACATCCGACAATGGACAGAACTAAATTTTGAACAGGTAATAAGAACAGCTGAAGATAGAGAAGAGTTTAAAATTGTAGTACCCAACCTCCATTGAATAGAGGGCACTTTAAGAAGAAGAAGGGTGACTGTCCGTTCCGAACGTTGGCGATCATTCTAGCTATGATGAGTTTGTTGGTAGCTGTGTTGAGGTCTTTATATACCATGCTATCAGGTTAGCAAGCCAGGATATTCTTCTTCCTGGGGACCTTTTTCCTTTTTCCTTCAATTTTATCTTGCAAAATGCATTGAGAGGATATGTTTCTCCTCTCCAGTACTTCTTCATTGGTGACTTTATTTGTCCATGGTATCTTCAAGCTTACTTTTGTTTCTAGGGTGAGGTCATGGCTCTTGAACACAGAGCTCATAGTCAAGAATGCACTTTTGGCCTTTCTGATGCGACATTTATTCTTTTGGGTATTGTCCCACGACTCATTGATTACAGTTCTCAAGTAATTGTATTGTTCAATTCTCATTTGGTTCACATACAGATTTGTCATAAGTGTGTACAAAAAAATATCAGTCTTTTGATTACATACAGATTTGCTCCAGTTATGTTTTCCTTGCTGATGATCATTAGCTTGGTTTTGCTGGTGTTCATTAAGTTTTGTAGCCGATCTATGGTATTGGAAAACACTATTGTATCATCTGCATACCGCAGGTTATTGAGATTGACTCCATTTATTGAAATGCCTACATCAATATCTTTTAGCGCCTTTTCAAAAATGTGCTCCGGGTACAGATTAAATATCAGTGGTGAAATTATGCACTTCTGTCTTACTCCCCTTAAGATTTTGACTTGATCTTTATATTCCCTATCTATCCGAAGCACCGCTATTTGAATCCAATACAGGTAAGCTATTATTTTTAAGTTTCTTTCGTCAATCCCTGTCCTCCTCAGCACTTCCATCATTTGTTTATGCCTGACTCTAAAGCAAGCCTTCTTGTAGTCAATCAGGCATGTAAAAATATTACAGCTGACATTACATACATTTTTGAAACAATATCTGCACGCTAAATAAGGCTTCCGTCGTATCAACGGCGTTTACAAATCCAAACTGATTGGGCGCAATTTGTACCTCGCATTTCCAGAACATTCTTTTATGGATGACTTTCAAAAGTAGCTTCAGTAGATGGCTCATTAGGCTTACGGTCCTATAATCTTCACAAACTGTACAATGAATTAACAGAACTTAAAGGAGTACTATTGAGTTTGCCCTCAGTTTAAGTTACTAATCATTTAGGCTAAAGAAAACTTGCTTGATCGTATGGTTTGATCAGATTGTAATGTTCTTTATATTGTAAGCCTATCCGAAGTCATAATTATCATTAGCTGGAGTGCATTAGGGGGTGGTGTTGTCGCCATATATATGGCAGTCAAACCATCTGAACCCAGTTCGATGCTAAGCCTGTACACAGACGATACAGTGATAGCTGCTAGCAGTATTAACCCGGTTCTATCTACAAGATACCTACAAAGAGCACACAACGAACTTAAGTCATGGTGTGTGCAGTGAAAAATAGCCGTCAATCCTTACAAAACACAGGCCGTCGCGTATCAAAAAACGCAAACCAAACGGGGTACTATCCTTATTCGATATCCCAATCGAATGGTCAAACCAAGCCAGATATTTAGGCATAACGTTGGGTAAAAAGCTGATCTCTAGCTGATCTACGTTAAAAAATAACGGTCAAAAAAGCTAAACCACTTATCGGTAGTAGATCGAAAGATTAAACTAGAATTTAAAACAAAGATTAAGACAAACGGCATAATTTTGCCAACACTAACATACGCCTCAGCAGCATCAGGACGTACGTGTAAAACCAACAGATAGAGGAGACATACTGTCCAGAACTTCATGATCAGAGAAGCTCTGAATATTCCCAAGTACGTCCTACTAAGATACGTATATGCACTGGGAATAATGGGAATATTGCACTATGGTCAAATACAGTGCAATTCAGTATACGTGGTAAGATGGTAAATTCCTTCATATGCCACTTTTCTCTATTTGTTTGTAGAACGCAAGTTTGTAGAAATATAATTTCCGAAAAAATTATAAATATTGTGTAATATAATTAACCTGATGTAGTTTTTATAATCTAGATGAATATGTATCTTATCATAATCATATACGGTACTCGAAGAATAATCGATATGACAGTAGGCTTGGTACATCAATCAATTTAGTGTCAGTTTCTTTAGTTTTAACTTCGACGTCGACTACTTATGATAAGATTGTAATAGTGTAATTGCTATTTATAATTATGTTTTCTTGGTTATGCCTATACTTTTTATATCTAATGTGTTGGATGAATAATAACTTTTACTGCATTTATTAAAATATTGCTTGACTTCTTCAAGTGCTGCCGAATATTGATGAACATAGATCGAGTAAAAAGAGTCGCAAATATGTTTTATCTGAAAATCAGGACTAAGACAAAAAGCGGACATCGTTGGAAAACTGTTGTTCCAAAAGAGTTAGGAAGAACACCAAAGACAGATGTAATTCACTTAATGGCCTGTACGAAAGATCAAGCAAAAGCAACTATTTCTTTCTTTTCTTAATAATATAAAATAAATTTAGTATGTTAATAACAGACTCAGTAATAATTTTGAGTTTGGGTGGTTAAGAGTAAATAAAATGGTTATTAGAATACTATTTTTTTTACTCAAGCTTTTGAATGTGGTAACATTGTTTTAAGAGCTCCAAGAAAAAGTATCCGAAGAAGTAGAAACAAAAATAATTTAAAAAATAACTCAGCAGATAAATCTAGATTTGTTTAATTATCTGAAATGGTTTATCTGGTGATTTATTATACATTATTTTTGTTTTCACTTAATCGGCTACTTTTTCTTGTACAGTATTGTGCGAATTAATGGAATCATAGGCTGTTTAATGAAAAAACAGTTTATTTAGTAAAAAATTATATTTTGACAAAACTATAAAGGTAAACTTACATCATTCAGTAGGAAATATGTCCCCCTTTGGCAGCAATTACTGCTTTTACCCGTTTTGCATTATATTCTCTGAGTTTCTGGCAGTTGTCAGATATCCTTTCATCTCGATACCAAACCTGAATGGCCGCTTCTATCATTTTTGTTTTAGTGGTACAGTCGATTTTTCGCAGTCTAGCTTTGCAAATGGCCCATAAATTTTCAATGGGGTTCAGGTCGGGCGAATTACCAGACCAATTTAAAACATTAATCTTCTTATTTTTGAAAAATGCCATCATTTCCTTTGATTTGTGACAGGGAGCAGAGTCCTGTTAAAGAATCGCTCCTCCTTGGGGTTGACATTTTTGGAGTTGTTTGTCCAAATACTTTTCCAACATGGATTTGTATTTTTGGCTGTTCATCATGCCTTCAATTGGCACCAAAGATCCAACCCCCATGTATGAAAAACATCCCCAAAACATTTTCTTGACTGGATGTTTTACGGTTTGATCAATATGAGATGGTGTAAGCTTTTCATTGTCAGACATCCTGACGAATTTCGACCGCTGTCCCTGAACTATAA